TTCACGGACTCTTTTTCTACACAACCCTCCTTCTATGCAACAGAGATAATCAGAGGTATGGAGGCATTGTCAGGACTCCGGAGTGACTAAAAAGGCTAGGACTCTTCAGTCTGGACAAGAAGGTTGAGGGGGACTATGATAGAAGTCTATGAAATCATGGTGGGCATCAATAAACTAGATGAGGAACTGTAATTCACTAAATCATATACAAGAACTAAGGAGGCTCCCATTGAAATAACCAGGAGTCAGGTTTAAAACAAAGAAGTAGTACTTTTTTAACATAGCACACAGTCAACTTTTGGAAATTGTCATAGTAGGTTGTAGCAGCAGATAGCATAACCAAGTTCAAAAAGGAATTTTATTAGACAAAGCTAAAAAGGACAGGTCCACTGGGAACTATTGTACAGAACTGAACCAAGGATATGTCAGGTATATGTCCTCTGACATCCCTAAACCAATGATGGTTGATACTAGGCAGAGTATGACAGGGATGGATTACTCTGCGGCTGCCCTGTTCATATACTCTCTCTCCAAAGCATCTTCTCCTTGCCACTGTCAAAGATGGGAATTTGGACTAGATGGACCATTTATCTGACTTATGTTCTTACATAACTTACCTACACAAGGACTCGTATTTTGGTTGCAAATGCTGTGTTTCTGTGAGAGAAATCCAGCTCTCAGTCACCCAGTGCTTTAGCGCTATTCTTCATTCATCTCATGTCTGTCTGTTGCATCTTTTATACATGGAAAAATGGCAATAGTTTGAGTTATATTATTAGTTAAACTGGTGAACTGTGTGCCCGTGTGGGGAGGGAGGGCCTTTCTTATATGGGTTTAAAACTGTCAATATCAGTTTAGCTTCTGCATGTGAAGGTAGATTTGCAAAACTGAACTGAGACAAGCCAAGATTATCCTGTTATGCATGGCACACACACAGCTGCAGCAGTATATCCAAATTCAGAGGCCTAACAATGCAGCTGGGCACCCAGGGAAGTGGGATGGGATGCATAGTCGCAGCAGCAACTTCCAGTTGTTGCCATGACACTAGTTATGATCACATTGTCATGGTAGGAGATTTTATTTTTGTGCCCCTCCTAGCTCCCCCCTCCAATATCAGCACTTGGGGTTCCTGCTCTGGTTGCCCTGCCCTGGTTATGCTACCGTTTGAACTGGTTTAAATCATTCATTTAGTTACAATTTTCAGTGATAAGCATCTAGTTAAATGATTAAATAACTTATTTTCCTTGTTTTTCCACATATATATTATTTTAAAAAGCAAAAGTAAGCAGATATAATCCTTGGTTATAAATTGTATTACAAAAGCTCATTCAAGCAATGTAACCAATCAAGCAAGATAGATATTTGGTGACCTCTAGTGGCCATGTGGAACTTTTCCTCGTCCTGTTCAATTTGCTCAAGTGTCTCCCAGATGGATTATTTTAGAGACAACCACTGCTAATGACTGTTTTCTGCTTTTCTACTGAAAAGAGAATATTGAATAAGGTACATAAATCCTGAAACATCTGTATTCCACAGGTACAAGTTAATCTGTGGTATCAGACATGCTTTATATTAAAATTGCAGGGCCAAGTATGTCTAACAAGTTTTTCACTCAGAATTATTGAACCTGCCCTGCTATGTTCAATTACATATTTCTTTGGTATAAGCTAAAAGATACCTATAGTGTTACTTGACTTCAGTAGAGGATGAATTTGTCCTATTTCCTCTGATTCTGGTAGTACCATCCCATATGCTCCACAGACCTTCAGAAATGGAAGTAGTTTATACCACTTCTGACTGGTTATTATAGCTGCCAGTAGTGTAACTGAGGATGGGTGACCAAAGCAGCAGCCCTGGGTGCCACTTTCGGGAGGGGGCACAAAAGTAGCCATCACTACAGTGGCAGCTAACTGCACCACCACAATCAGGATGGCTGCCTTGTATGTGGAGTTGCCATACTACAGTGTGGGAATAAGCTGATTAGCTTTACTAGGAGGCAGAGCTAAGTAACTTGGGAGTCATGGCTTATGAATGCAGCTCCCTCTTGACCCCAATGCAATACAGCTGCTCTCCCACAGCATCATACTGCACCCTCTGAGCAAAATGCAGGAGGACCCAGCGGTGGGGTTTACCGTTCAGGTAAAAGCCCCATGCAAAGATTCAGTGTCAGGCAGTATCTGCATCAGGTTCATTTTACTACGCAACCATGTTAATACCAGGCATGAAATAAACAGTCAGTGCCATAGGTGTTATGGCGTATAACGTAACCAGGTCCTGTCCAGCTGGCTGTTTTGCACTGCCCTAACATTGGCCTTGAGGAGGATCCTGACTAGTATTTCCCGTGTTTTTCTCTTTTATAGGAGAATCCATTTTAGAAGTTTGTTGATCCATTTTTTTAAGTTTGTTCATGACCCTTTCATATATTCTTGAGACCCACTTTTGGGTTGTGACCCATGTGTTGACAAATGCTGAATGAGAAGACGTATATAATTTGCAGGGATGGCTCACCTTGACTGACAAAGTCAGGGTTTTACTGGCAAAACTCAAACGAGTGTGGATGCACTCATGGCTGTGCTGACAGAAGGCAAAACGTGTTGATCTAGACCAGGCTTAGATTGTTTGCTGAAGCAGAGCTTAGACCGGCAGAAGCAACCATGTAATCATGACTTAACATTGCGGGAGCTAAACTCCCATTCGCAACAGCGGAGAAGTGTTTTAAAATGTCCATAGCTTAGACTGGAGAAAAAAACGAATGTGCACCACACACTTTTTTGCCAGGGAAACCCAGTTCTGAGGAAAATGAACGCGCAACGTGTGCTTTGCCAGGGAATCCCAGTTTTGCTGCACTAGAGATGTAATTTCAACATCAGTTGAAAGACTGAAAATGATAATATTGGCATCATTCGAACACACTCCATCTGCTTGTGTTTTTGCAGTGCTGGTTGTTTTCTTTCGTCCCCGCCTAGCCTGGAGAAGTTCAGACACATGCAGATGAGCCAACAGGAGCGGGAACAGCAAAATAAATAAATATATCAGTCAAAATGAAGTACTGCGCTACATGACTGCCGCTTTTAATAAAGCCTGAAAACTCAAATTCTGGCTTCTTTTTTTTTTAACCTCACACACACCGGTAGTATTCCAGTCTCCAACTGTTTTACCTGTTTGGTAGATAATACATTGGACAAACGGGACCGGTCTACGCAACACACTTTAAAACAACGACCAATTCCGAACAGTAGGCAGGTCGGGGCACGGGCACGTGTACAGGTGCCCAGAGGGTCCTTGATGACGAGCAGCAAGGGGGCTCTGAGGGGGCAACCGAAGGCTGCCCCGGCGCCTCACACAACACCACCCTGGCGGAGCCGCGGGAAGAGCGCGACACTACCGCGCGTGGGCCAGGCAGCCGACAGGGGCTGCAGGGCGGTGCCAAACAGCAGGCGGGGATTGGCCGCAGCGGGGAGGGACGAGGCAGGGATTGGCCGAGGTGAGGCGGGGCGGGGCTCACCGACCATTGGCCGGGGGCTCGGCGGCGATTGGCTATGGCGGGGCGGGGTTCGGCGGCGATTGGCCGCGGCGGGGCGGCGATTGGGCGGGGCGGGACTGGGC